TAAATAATTAAAATAAATTTATATTTATTAAAAAAGCTTAAGAAAATATATAAAATAATAATATAATATTAATTAACTTTTTAATTTAATTATAAATATATTAAATAAATAAAATTTTTAAATTTAAAAAAATAATAAAAGTTTATTTAAATAATTAAAAAATATAGCTTAATATTTAAAAAATAAAAAATTAATAAAAGCTTATTAGAAAAATAATTTATAAATAAAAATAAATTAATATTTTTAATTTATAAATTAAAATAATAATAAAAGTTTATTTAATTTATAAATTAAAAAAAAATATAAAAATATATTTAATTTATATATTAAAAGTAAATAAAAACTTAAATATATTTTTAAAAATAATTATTAGCTTTTATAAAATTAATAAATAATTATTTTTAAAAAGCTTTAAAATATAAAAGTAATTATTAAAGCAGCTAGCTTTATTACTTAAGCTAAAAAATACTTATAAAAATTAGTTTTTTCTAGCTAATAAAAAAATATAAAAAATTATATATTTATAAAGTTATATATTTATAATAAAATTATTATATATTTTTATTAATTGCTTTATTTAAAATATAAAAATAATAATTTTTTTTTAATTTATTAAAAAAAGTTTTAGTTATTAAAAATTTTAAAAAAAAATTATATATTTAAAAAAGTTTATATTTTAAAAAAATATTAAAAATAATTTAATATTAAAAATATATTATTTATTATATATTATATATAATATAAATTTATTTTTTAAAGTATAAAATAACTTTAAAAATTATATTTATTAAAATAATTTTTTAATAATATTATTTAAAAGTTTTATAATTTAAATTATAACTTTAATAATTCTTTTAATAAAAAATTATTTAAACTCTTTTATTATATTAAATAAAGTTTTAAATAAAAGAAATATAATTTATTTAATTAATTAAAACTTTTTTAAAATTTATTAAAAGTTTTAAAAAATAAAATTAAAATATAATATATTTAAAGATTTTTAATAAATAATAAACTTTTTATTATAATATTTAATAAAAACTTAAAAATTATAATAATATTTTTATTTTAATATTATAAAAAAATAAAAAAATATTTTATTAAAAAAATATATTTTATAATAAAACTTTTTAAATTAATATATTTATTATAAATTCTTTTTTATAAATTAATATAAAAGTATTTTTTAAAATAAAATTAAATAATTTATAAAATTTTTATAGTTTTATAAAATAAAAAATAATATTTTTATAATTATTTAAATAATATAAAAAAACTTTTTTTATATTTATAAAGCTATTAAAAATCTATAAAAAACCTTTTATATTTAAATTAATTATATTATATTATTTAAATATATATAAACCTATTATTAAAATATTATTTAAACTATTAAAATTAATTATTTTAGTTTTATTTTAAATTTTTATTTTTAATAAATAAATTTATTAAATACTTTTATTATTATAAATTTTATATAAAAAAATTATTTTTTTATTAATAATTAATATTATTTTTTATTATATAAATATACTTTTAAAATTATTATTAAAAATATATAAATAAAATATATTTAAATATTTATTATTAAAATATAGTTTTAAAAAAGTTAAATTTATTAAAAAACTATATAAAATTATAAATAAATTTATTATATTTAAATATGTTAATAAAATTAAAAATTAAAAATTTTATTATTAAAAAAAATTAAAAATAAAAATAATATATTTATTAAATATTAAAAACATTTATATTAATTAATATAAATAATATATTAAACTTTATAAAAAAATATTATATTATTAAAAATTTATTAATAATATTTTTTTATTTATTATAATATAATATAAAATAAATATATTAAATATTATTAAAAAATTATAAAACTTTTATTTAATTTAATATATAAATAAAAGTATAATTTAAAAAAAATTATTTTTTTAAATATTAATATTTTAATATTTAATAAAAACTTTAAATTTAAACTATATTATAAATTATTTAATTATTTTAAATAAATTCTTTAATTATTAATTTATTTTTTTTAAATAAAAAAATATTTATTAATAAACTTAAATAAATTACTAGTTTATTATTATTAATAAAAATATTTTTAATAATAATAAAAAATTTAAAAAAAATTATATATAATATAAAATTATTTATATAAGTTAATATAAAGTTAAATTTAAAATTATATATTTAAAAAAAAATAAATAAAAAAAAAAACTTAATTTTTTTATTTTTAATTTTAAAAACTTAATTAAATATTATATAAAATTTAATAAATATAAAAAAAGTATTTAAAAATATATAAAACTATTAAATAATAAAAAAAAACTTTATATTATTAAATAAACTTAAAAATATTAAAAAACCTTTTTTTTAAAAAACTTAAAAAAACTTAAAAAATATATTTTAAGTTTTTAATATTATATTAATAAAATATTAATAATTTTTTAATTTATAAATAAATATTTTTAAATATTAATATTAAAATATTATTAATAATATTAAAATTTTAAAAATAAATTATAAATATTTAAAAACTTTATAAAATTTTTAAATTAATATTTTTTATAAATAATAATAATAATATTTTTAAAAGATTTTTATAATAAAATAAACTTTTACTTTTATTTTATTATATAATTAAAATAAAAGCTTATATTAATTATTTAACTAAAAGCTTTTTTTTATATTGTTTTTTTTTTTATAAAAAAGTTTATTAAAATTTTTTTATAGCTTAAAGCTATTATAGAATTTTAAAGTAAAAAAGCTAAATAAATAATATAAATTCTATAACTACTATAATAATATTATAAAGCTTTATTTTATTATTATTATAATAATATATATACTTATACTTTTAATAAATAAATATATTATAAAATATTATATTAATATTAAATATATAATAATAATATATAAAATATAATATTAATATTAAATATATAGTAATAATATATAAAATATATTACTAGTAGGTATATAAAAAATAGTATTAGCCTACTGAAGAGTTATTAAATATAATAAAATACAAAGACCTAGCTAGCTAGGTTGTTGTTTAGTTTCCTGCTAATAACTCTTTTATTTTTACTAAACTTTTAAGCCCGGAAGGACCTTCGGCCCTTCCTCCTTAGGTTATTAATAAATATATAAAAAATAATATTAGCTTATTAAAAATTATTAAATATAATAAAATATAAAGACCTAGCTAGCTAGGTTATTGTCTAGTTTCCTGCTGATAACTCTTTTATTTTTATTAAATTTTCAAGCCCGGAAGGACCTTCGGCCCTTCCTCCTTAGGTTAATACCAGTTATACTATATTAAATATCTAGCAAGCCATCCCTACCCTTTACCAGCAATAGTACTATATTATAATGTGTGGCAGGTATTCGTTAGCTCTAGTAAGTAATTTATATTTTATACATATCCTTTATTTCTCGTTCATTTACTATAGCTAATGATTTAATAGCCACTTTCCTTAATCCAGCAGATGTTAGAAGACGATGGCGTTCAGATTGAAGATATAGCAATGAACGAGGGCAGCGAAGCCCACCATCAATCATATAACTTCGCTCCGGGAAGTAATGGCGTTGTGTGTAGAGCTGGCACTTCTAACAGCAGTGTCGAATTCAGAGATAAAGGGCACAATGGTTCTGACAATAAAAGCCCCAGAGGAGAGGCCTCCAGTCTCGGGAACCGTGAAGTTATCAAATACATTCTCCAGTCAATGAAGTGGGGAATTTTGCCTTCGTGGTCGAAGCAGAACGTCGCTCCCACCCGTGGAGTTATAAACTGCAGAGATGACTCTCTTAGGACCACGGGTGGTATGTGGCAATCAATCAAAGGCCGCAAACGATGCATTGTTGTCGCACAAGGATTCTTTGAATGGCTTAATGTGAGTGGTAAAGAAAAACATCCATATTTTATAAAACGAAGGGATGGCCACCTGATGTGCTTTGCTGGGCTATGGGACTCCATTCAGCATCAAGGTATGAGATTGGACTTGCGATATAAATTACTAGCTCGCCATTGACATTGCTGTGGAAGACGCCGGGAATAGAAGTTATACTTATGCAATAGTCACGACCGACTCAAACCAACAGCTACGATTCTTGCATCATCGTATGCCGGTCATCTTTGATGCTGGCTCTAAGGAATTTCACCAATGGCTTTATCCATTACAGCAAAGATGGACCAACGACCTCCAGTCCTTACTAAAACCATTCCAAGGAGAGCTAGATATTTATCCGGTTAACAAAAAAGTTGGAAAAGTTGGCTGCAGCTCTCCATCCTTTATAATGCCGTTGTCTCACAATAGTGACAAGCATGGCATCTCTCAGTTCTTTCCTCAAGCTTCCGAAAAATCAGCCGCAGAAAATTCAGAAACGCCGGGTGAGATAAGGAAACGCGAGAGTGACAATAATCAGCATCTTATTTTCCCCAGTAGCAAGCGAGATGTACCGGAAAGAGCGGACTCTCCAAGGAAACACAAGGCTGATAGTAGCTCTTATCCTCCGCCGAAGAAAAGACGCGTCAAGCCAGCCCCCCAAGGCGTTCAAAGAATAACTGATTTTTTTGGTCAAATGCAGCACGAGAAACGCAACAAATAGCAGTTGGTTTTCTAGTTTTTGCAAGCTGGCTATCTGGTGTTACTAACATATTTGGCCCTCACTGCTGCTTCCCCTAGTTCTAGCCGTTTTGCTACCCTTTCAGTTTCAACTGCTCTTTTATATCGGGGAGGAAGTAATTTTTGTGATACCTGAGGAGTTTTGTTTGAGATATGGGCGCGGAGCCACAGCCCCCTGTAAACGTGTCGAATATACGGTCAAACATGGGCAGAAAGAACCTCATTGTTGTGTTATACACAGACGCCTTATTCATCCGTATCGATTTAGCCAAAGTTGGCTAGTTAGCATATAGTTACAGATGGAGTACATTCTTTGCCATCCCAGTTTGACCATTAGTTGTTTCATGATCTTGGGCAATCATTCTTCGCAACAGGTGCAATTCTGCGGAGCGATATCTCTTGTATCTACCCTACCTCGTTCTCCATAACTTAGAACTGGTAGCCATGAGCTCAAGCCACGTAATTTTGCGATCTGGTAGCCTCTCTGTGCTGATTTGGATCTAGTGTCTGTCTATTCTCATCCCAGGAGAACAGCGTACCGAAAGGGAAATGCTGGATGACAGGAAATTTCGATAAGACCTCTGCGTTGAACATTTTGATCATGCCTTTATTAATTTTGCCCCATCCATCTTTTATGCCGGAAATGTCGAATAGCATTGGGCTATGCTCCCAAAATGGACCTTTTTTTACATCGTTGATAAATGCAACGGCTGCAAAGTACATGTTAACCTGTCTCATATCCTGGACAATGCTGGGGTTGGTGATATCGCTTGGTTTCGGTGCGCCTCTTACGGAGCCATCGAGGGGCATAGGATCATTTTCATTACTGATTGGGCGAGTAAGTTGTGCAGACCCAAAGATATACGGAATAAATGAATGGTCATCTAAGCCCCATACGCCATGTGAGCCTGCTGGCTCAAGAGTATATGTCGTAATGAGTTGTCTCACGATATCGAGATACCTGAAGAAGTGAGCTTATTGTCATTCTTTTCGTATGCTCCTTACTTACGGTTCAATAACCAGGAGCACAATTTCCCTTTCAATATGCCCGCCTTGTGTTCCATCCTTGAAATGCCCTAATTTCCATAGACACCCAAGAAAAGCAACGAAATTGAGCTCATGGCCTGTACCGTAGTCGAGGCGCTGCGGGCTGCCAAACGATCCGAGCAAATAGCTTGCTACCTCATCCTTGGCATGCCCGTTGCCTACCCGGAGAGTTTCCGCAAGTAACCCATCATCCAGCAAGTTATCCAGCTCGGCATTGAGGAGTCGAAACCATGTACGAAAGCTTACATTTCCAAACCTGTGGGATCCTGGATCTGGGGGCGCCTTGCCAATGAGAGTGCGGATGCATGATAGAAGCGTCTGTAATGACTGAATAGAACCCGTTGATGTTGCCTTCGATCCAAGAGGATATACTGAGAGAGAAGAACCAGCTAACTGTCGCGGGCAAATGGCGTGGTTGAGTTGAAGGATGAAAAGGCCAATGTCTCGGTAAGCTTCGCTGGCGAGAAATCTATGGACATCCTCTGTTTGGTGTATACGCTTGATAGGTGCCTGAAAAACAGGTGGACAGGATGAGTCGATAATCTTAAGAGAGACCCTGTCTTGAATATAAGCCATTTTAAATACAGGTGTCTGTATTTCATAGTACTAGAAAGCTAGACAAGGTGTATTCAAAAGTCAACTAAGCTACTGCCAAATATTTAATATATAAATTCTAAATATTAAATTAGTTAATATATAAATTTTTTAAAGTTTATAAATAATAAATTAATTAATTATATATATATATTTTAAAAAAATATTTTTTTAATTATAAATAATTAAATATATATTTATATAATATATTTATTTTAAAGTATTATTAAAAATAATATAATATAAATATTAATTCTAGTATTTTATAATTTTTATATAAATATAAATTATTCTACTTATATATAGATGTACTAGCTATGTTTTATATATTTACTAGGTTGAAATCTGGTTTTAGGAATTACAATTATCATAGGTATAATACCTATTATATTCATGCTGGCAGCGCACGCCGGCTTTGCCTACCTTGTAGGTACTTAGGTAGCTATAGCGTATAGACTACCCAGGAGGTACCAGGGATGATATGCTGTCATGTGCTTCGCATTGACTGTCTATGTTTTATGTCCTAGCTGTCCCAAGAAGCGTTGTCTCAGGATATTCGCGCTCATGCCTAATGGTTAACGCCCTCTTTCATTGCCATCAAGCTATACCCGTCGCATTACCACCTTGGAAACCCTCTATTTACGGCGTCCCCATGTGGCGATAGACGTCGTGACGACAACCCGCTCAGGAGGTGTTTATTTGGCCCACCATCTGTTGCTGGATGGTCCTTCAACTTACCACTCACGCATCTCACTGAATGCTTAACACAAAAACAAGTAGTGAAGGGTTGCGTGTCTGAAGTTAGAGACCATAGTTAGTACCGGCCTTTGCCCGGGGCTCCCGCCTCTCTACGGCCTTCGCGCCTTTCTTGATGATGGTATGTTCTCTCCGGTGGAAGTGATTGCTCGGCGCCGTGAACGCTACCGAAGCGGAGTTCATATGTAGAATGGAACACGTCGGTATGCCATGGCCATGGCCAAATTAATCCAAGCATAATTAGAACAAGAACGATTTCGACATTGCGAACGTCGCTAATGAAATCGGGGGATAGACATCATCTCGACTTCATGGCGAAATTGCCGGCACCCTTTCCACACGGCGTGGCCATTCTAGCCAACTCTCAATTTCAGACCCTAGCCACCATGTAACGGAGACGATCGGAAATTTATATGACGAAGATGACGACGTCGGTTCCGACACAAGTCGTCCGCTCAGCTTTATGGCTGATTTGGTGCACCAAGAACAAATAGCCCAGTCGCAACATCAACACAATGACAAACTGTTGCACCCAAATAAGTTAACGAATCTTTCTCTCCAGCCAATATCAGACCTGCAACCACAGTCAAAATCTTACAACGACAATGGAAACGCGAGATCTCCCCAGAAGAGCCCCGTTAGAGGGAAAAGTCAATGGAGCGACCAACAGGACCAAGATACAATGCCTCTAACGTCCCCTACCTTGTCACTCCGAGAATTTCCTCTGACCAATATAGATAACCCAAATGATATTGCTCAGGAGTTGAGTAATTTACAAGCACTGAGGCGTTTATCTATGGATGTGGGCAACGGTATTGATCCGGACATTCCTCCAATGTCTTTAGCAACCATGCCGGCTGCAGCACCACGGGGAGACGACGACGAGAACGACCCCTCAAGATTACTTTGGGTGCCGGCTAGAGTACATCCAGAGCTAGCGCCTACCGAGTTCAAGACGTTCTTGGCAAGTCGACTTCAATCAATACGAAGGAGATCGGGAGATTCTTTTCTTTCCGTCTCGGATGATACATATGGCGGTGGTTCGGATTCAATGGGCTCATCATCATTAAGAAGGAAGAAGTCAATGCTTTCACGCCAAATTGACAACCCGGAAGATCGAACCCTTGAGGGATTCACAGATGGCACGGAGAGGTCAGAGAAACATGATTTCAAGGATAATCAGCAAGATCGGGAACTGAGTCTAGACGAGCTAGTAAAAGACCCTTCAAAGGCAGTTCAAAGACTTGCTCAAGAATCCCATAGCTATTCAGGTAGCTTAGAAACTGGGATGGATGATATGCCTATCCTCCCTGTTGCACCCAGTAGCGGATTACGGAGATCAACTCGCACGACATATCGAAAAGGGGGCAGTTTACGATTTGGTGACAAGGGGTCATTTTCCAAGCGGATGGCACAACGTCAGCAGAGCGGCGAGATTTCAGAAGTTCCGGCTGCATCAGCTGAAGATATTCCTCGGGAGCATCCGTTAGTTAGAGTGCAGTCAGAGTCTTCGCATGAGAACTTCTCACGGCCTACTCGGTCAGATCGAAGACAGGATAGATTTTCGGAAGATCAGGGTGTGGTACCAGCAGATATCGACAATTCATCAGCATCTACACGTCAATCCCAGTTGTCCGCCCGAGGATCTTCAGCCCAGCCCAACTCATCTGCCAATGGAATTTCAGCTAGAGATAGACCAGGCGCCTCTCAAGATAACCGATATCCAGAAAAGTTCCCGCAACGATCTTCTTCCCAGTCTGTTGCAGTGACCTCAGAATCCGGGCTAGAATCTACCTCAGAGACCGTGGGAGAAAATTCACCAGGCAGTTCGGGTTACCACACTCCGCTCGGCAATACTGGATCCGTGGGCAATAACAATTCACCCAGTTCTGTGAAGTCTTCTATTCCTACTATAGTACAGACGAGCAGTACTGGTGCGAACTTGGTCCCGTCAAATGGCAACACTAGCCGTGCTGATACTTCAAATGTTACTCCCGCGCACGCAAAAGATGACAAAAAGTCGGATAAAAAGTCCAGAAAAGATAAAGACGAAGACTCTCATAATTCTACTAGATCTGGTGGCGCTTGGAAGTGGTTCAAGGGTGTAGCGGATGATAGGGACAAAAAGAAGGAGGAAAGCAGGAAATCCAGGCATAAATCCTTATCTGAAAAGGCGCAGGATAATGTGCGATTGGATGTGATTCAAACTTCACTTGAGAAGAACGCGACCAAGGGCCGTGAAAGCCTAGTTCTTGACCGAGAAAATATCGACAATAAAGTTTCAGACGAGAAAAGGAAAGAAAGCAATCGAAAGAGCGATTCAAAGAAGGAAAAAGACGGAAGCTTATTCTCATCCATTTTTGGCGGAGGCAAGAAGCGAGAAGAGAAGGAAAAGAACAAAAAGTACCAGCAATTGCTGCATGTCCCCGAGGACATAGTACCTTACAAGCCTTTGCAACCAGATGTTGACTACAACTGGAGTCGCTTCCCCCTTTTGGAGGAGCGCGCTATCTATCGAATGGCACACATCAAATTAGCTAACCCTCGCCGATCCCTCCACAGCCAGGTGTTGCTGAGTAACTTCATGTACAGTTATTTGGCAATTGTTCAAGCTATGCATCCCCAAATGAATGTCCCGATCTCACCTCAACAAAAGCGACTAGAAGAGGAGGCACGCCGTAAACGTGAGGAGCAAGAATACTTAGCTCAGCATGACGCACAAGATGAGCAAAATGAGCACCAGAGTCTTGATCAATATGATTTTGATTATCATCGCGTAGGTCACCCCTTGGTCATAATGAAGAAGCATACTAAAATAGTCAGATGGCCGTACAATACGCAGATTCCAATTCCGACAGACCGGTGGAGTATGTGGATGATGCACAGATATATGAGGATGATCACACGAGTAACCACCATGAAAGTTACAGTGATGATGATGCAGGCGTTTACAGCCAAGAAGTGAAAGACTACTATCATAATCATAATGATGCATCCGATCGCCATAGCGGCCAAGATGGCATATGGTGATGCCTCGAGTAAGATTGGCTATGCGTTCAATCTCACGAAATATTCTCTCTATATTAGCGCAACGAGCATGTTCAGTGGCTGGGATGGCGTGTAAACCTTATGTTTTCTTGATTTTTGGCGGAATTCTAGTATACAGTGGCGTTTTTGGAGCCTGATATGCGCCTGTTCTTCCTCTATAGGGAGCTCATGGGAAGGGTACGTGAAGCTGAGATGCAATATCGTGGCCGTATTTGGTGGGTATAGATGTTGTATGACCTAAAGTTGTTATTGTGTTATTATTAAATGCATTGGAGCTAATCTTCATATTCACTTGTGGGTATGACATCTTTGGATTGAGCGGCTAACAATTGTATAGCCTTATTACATCATCGAATGTTTACCTTACCTTTGTTGAAATCTCTATAGGTGGTTAGGTGTGGAAGGAGAATTACTTCATAACCTTATATCTCTTTTATGGGAGTATGGGGACAGATTTCCGAAGCATTTTGTCATCGCAGTAGCATTCTCAATAATCTGAGCAGCCTTAGAGTAGAATATTCTACACCGAATAAATTGAGACTTGAACAATCGTATAACAGGGGATCAGCTCAAAATTAACAATGAATAAGAAATTGTGTTTTTAACGTCTAATAATGATAGATTGCCTGCTTTAATTGCACTCAGGGCAAGGTATCTATTGCTTCTTCTCCTCTGGTTTGGGCACGGGCAGTTTGAAGGACTCAGGCTTGACGTCTTCGCCTTGGCCAACTTGTTCCCAAGCGCTGGATCCGCCTTCGAAATTTCGGAATGCCTGAGTAAGCTCCAGCGGTTCGGTGACAATTCGCTTCTTTTCCTCATCATAGCGAATTTCTGTGTAGCCCGTGAGTGGGAAGTCTTTCCGTAAAGGATGGCCTTCAAATCCATAGTCGGTCATTATGCGTCGCAGATCAGGATGGCCTGTAAAGAAGACGCCATATAGATCGTATACCTCACGCTCGTACCAATTGGCGCCTCCAAACAAGCTTGTAATGCTCGGCACAGGCGATGATTCGTCGGCGTAAGTTTTCACTCGGATGCGAGAATTATATCGAACGGAGAGCAAGTTGTAAATGACCTCGAAACGCTTGCTTCGCGTCGGGTAGTCGCATCCAGTGACGCTGCTAACCTGGGTGAATTCTGCAGCAGTATTGTCTGGACACAAGGTTAGGCTATGTCAATGTATGTAGGTAATGGCATACGAACACTTGAGGAAGGAAAACACGGGGATAACGCCAGCTGGAGAAATGTAGATGGTGAGCTCGTCCTTCCACACGGAAAACTGCTGGACATATTTTGGGAGACATCCCATTAACCAGGTGCCGTATCGATGGAGATTGTCTGCCTTGCTTTGATATTTGGCTGTTGGGTTGACAACTGGCGCCTTAAGAGTTCCAATTGGATCCCTGGGAGCTTTTCTCATATTGTGAGCCTCTTGTGGCATTGCGACCATTCGGAGAGAAGAGGTCGATAGTGCACGGGCGACTTGTCCAGCATGAGCTCGTGCCATGGCTTTTGTCGGCTCCAGAATTGATCCCGGAGCCGCTCTCCATGAAAGTTTGGTTGCCATAGTGAATCAATGACCTGATGAGCGTACTGGCCATGAGTCTTCTCACGAACTGGTGGAGGAAGTTAACAAGGCAATTAGCTCATGTCTCCGCGGATTCGGATTGAATCTCCGATGATTTGCCGCGAGTTTGCATGGCGGGGCGCGAAAGAAGAACTGAAGAATTGTAGGCACTAGGCATCACGTGAAATATGGACCCCTTTGAACTTGGTACCAAGCGGTTGGCCTGTCCCACACCATCTTCTGAACAAACATCCTCAGCTATCTTCCGTTTGGCAGCATAACCACTATTATTTTATTTTAGAGGCTGAACGCCAACTCTCACTGCAAACATGGCACCCCAAGATTCTTTCATAGAAGAAGAAGAAGATGTCTGGTATGTTGGCTCTGGTGCTCCGCTTGATAAGAGCCTCGACTTTCCTCAGTTGGAGCCCTCTAACAAGTTGCCATAGTCCTCTTTGCATCGAAGAATTTGATTTGTCAGATCGAAACTTTCGACCTTGTCCATGTGGCTACCAGGTAATAATGCAATTCATCCAATGATCGTAAGAACTGTACTCATTTCGCGTATAGGTCTGCCAATTTTGTTTCAACAACATCAAGAATAATATGAATGGCCTATGTCCTGCGTGTCGACGACCTTACGATGAAAAAACTATACAGTGGAAAGTCGTGACGACGGAAGAGTACGCTGCACACCCATAATATTGTTTTCCCTTATCCCCTATAGCTAATGCTAACGAAATGTAGAGTTGCCGAGTTCCGTGCCAATATACAAAAGAATCAAAGAAAGCGAGTTCAAGAGCAACGCCAAAAGGAGGCCCAAAAGCGCGAGGCCGAGAAGGAGAATCGCAAGAACCTTATTGGAGTACGTGTCGTGCAGAAGAATCTTGTTTATATTACAGGTCTAGCACCCACCGTTCGCGAAGATGAACTCCTTAAAACCCTCAGAAAGCCTGAATTTTTCGGTCAATACGGAGCTATTCAAAAGATCTCAATTAGTAATCGAAAGAGCTCAGATGGTCAACATCACTCGTTGGGCATCTATGTCACTTTTGAAAAGCCCGAAGAAGCAACTCGATGTATCCAAGCAGTCCATGGGTCACAAAATGGTGATAGGATATTGAAAGCCCAGTATGGAACGACGAAATACTGTTCAGCATGGCTCAAGAACGAAAAATGCAACAACCCAGGCTGTATGTTCCTACACGAGCAAGGAGATGAAGAGGATAGCTACACGCGCCAAGATTTGTCGTCCATGAATGGCATCCACACACAACGGCCGCTACCCAGCGGAAACAATGGCTCTTTCCGTACAACCCCTCGGCAACAGGTCTCGCAGCCAACCTTAACGCCCGTGTCACAATCCATGGCACGGTCTTCGAGCAAAGATGGCTCAGACTATGGACTGGATGGGTCTGCCTTGCCTTCGTCGGCCAACTGGGCGCGAAATCCACAACGGAGCCGGAGGGGCAGCCATGCAACCAGCGGCGCTCCATCTAGTCCTGCTGTTTCAGCCTCCTTGCCTACCACAACTGAGGCTGCCCAGGAAGTTGTGGAAGACACTGAAACCTCATCCCCTTCATCTCGGCCGCTGGAAGATGATAAAGCGTCCAACAAAGACCTTACTGAAGAACCACAGGAACAGCCACCAAAGAGCTCGCTGGCGACCATTCTGCGTGCGCTACAGAGTTGCACATTTTCAAGCTTTGTTACCCCACAGGCAAACGAACTAGAGCCTCCGTTGTTCGATATTCGAGGCGGCGAGAAGCGAAAAGCAATGCGTGAGGATGACGACGCCCGAATTAGCGGCGACCAGAAGAATGCTGCAGAGGGCCAAGGCCATTCGGAGAGCGAGGCAGAGACTGGTGGCAGCCTTGCTCTTGGTGGCGAACCAGAAGAGCGAGATATGGCTGGCGATGGGCAAGCGTTTGAGCACCGACACATCAACACATTCCCTCCAATTCAAAGAAGCAATGCCGATACTCTATTCGGCCCTGCTCTTAGTGGTTCGAATTTCAACCCAGGTGCAAACCAGATGGGGCGAGGGATCACCCCTCAGCAACTGATGTCACTTCGGCCCCAGTCAGGATTCGGCGAACAAGTTCCTTCCGGTCTGTCTGGTCAGACTACTTTCCAAAACCAAGGTCATAATCGTCAATCATCTCGATTTAGCTTTATGGCTGATAGCCCGCCAGCAGCAACCAATCTTAAATTCACCGCGAATCCAAGAGTAATGGGCCAGCAGTCATCAATGATACCTGCCTCGTTACAATCTTCGAACAACAGTCACTTTTTCGGGAGCTCTATGCCTGCCCCTCCACCTGGACTGAAATCCACTAATACACCACCGAATATTTTCGGCCAAGGATTTGGCGGTTCAGCATTCGGCACTGCGACGAAAGATTCGTCTGGCGATTTACTACAGAGTTTGATTGGTAGGAACCGAGGCGGCGGTAACCAGCCTCATGATGGTGGAAAGCGTGAGTACATGATTTCTTCTTTTTCTAATCAGTATCCACCACCCTCAACCTCTACCCCTGCTCCTACTTCTGGCCTTTTGGCATCGCTCTACGGTAACCACCCCGGAGCATTCCAAGACTTTGGCTCGAAGCAGAAGAAGAAGGGGAAGAAGCATAGACATGCTAACACTTCCTCCTCTGGGGGGAGTGGTCTAGTGGATCTTGCGGACCCGAGTATACTGCAGGCGAGGATGCAGCACCAATCGCAAAGCAACACCGGAGTCAATCAAGGAGTTTTTAGCGGTCAGAGCCAAGGTGGGTATGTCCCGAATATGATGTATAACTCCAGTTATGCGCGGTGGTAGCATAACCAATGGCGTTACATGATATTTTGATTTTCACTGCACAATTTTATGCTGTACTAGGAGAGGCGTTCAAGAACACTTGCATTTGAAGCTGGAGATAATTTTTAAGGATTTGCACTGCATACATTGGTTCCAGCGGGTATAATTTACGATAACAGCTAGAGGAGCATGCGTCTCTCTGGTCAGGCGCATTTAAAGTTGGCGATGGTTAACTCCCGTTTTCATTCTCATTTTTTACTCTTCTATTTGATTTTTTTCGACGGGCCGAAACTTTTTTTTGTTCCTGTGGACTGGCGCAAGCTTGTCCAAGACAAACCATCATCGTCTTCCCACACAAATCCTCCATGTATGTTAACGAATTGCACGAGGTCAGCACCATCGGCGTCTCCCTTGGCCGCAATATAGCATCATACTGTCAAATTTTCAAACTTGATCTACCTTCCCCTCGTTATTCCCCGTGGAAGACGATGATGGAGGTCGTAGGATGACACTATTTTTGTCTTTGTATTATGAAGAGCCCCAATCCGTAGCCTGTTATCCCGCTCTCCCTCCACTACATTGTATTCAGACTTCGTTGTATTCCACATTGCT